CCTTAAATTCTGTGGGAAGGCATCAGATAAAAAAATACAGATCATTCATAGCCACTGTTCATAATTACTCTCAACTGAAGGAGTCAAGAATCCTCTTCAAAGGTTACATCCTGTCACAGTTTCCAGGAAGCAAATCATTGTCATGTTTCTCATCACACAAAGAAAACCATGAAATCCAAATGTGTCCTTTCTAGTGTTTATCAAAATACCTTCCTTAAGTTCACCCCTCCCCAGTGTGAATTAGTTTGAACTAAGGTAACAATTCAGGGGAGGGAAGAGATTTTTCTGCTCTTTTCTTAACAGTGTAATTCATCCTTGAGCCTGTGACAAAATGATTCATGAGACAAATGTTTCCATAATTTTTTTAACCAAATATGAGAGAACTCTGCAGAAATTATAGGATCTGTAGGTGAAGAAGATAGTGTGTGTTGTCTGCTCTGAGTCTAGCAAGTCTTTGGTGACTGTCCCCAATGACATTCATTGTCCCTAGGCTGGGGTGTCACTGTCATCTGGATGCGTGCACMATTCCATGGGTGAAAAACTGGCTGGACCAATGATGGAGGTGGAGGAACACTCCACCAGGGGCTGGTTAAAAGCARAATTCTTCAGGAACTATCCTGGGTCTTGTTCAGCTCTTTAATGCCAAACACCTGGCTGAGTGGTGGAATGCATTCATTAATTTGGTTGTTTACCCGTAACTTTGGTTGAACTGATACATTTGAGGGGAGGCCACTGCTCAGAGGGGTTCTGGAGACTGAGCCAACAAATCCCTCATGGGAGGAAGGGAACTTCAGCCAGGACAGAGGCAAAATCCAGCACCCAAGCTGAGAAGAACCTGGGAGTGATGGCAGATTAAACCRGAGCCAGCTTGAGTGCAGGTGCTGCTTTCAGGTGACTGACACCAGTGAACTCCCTTCACTAAGCTTTCTCTGTCTCATCTAGAGCCCTGTCAGGTCCTTCTCAAATGACTCCCCACTCTCTGGGCTCCCTGACAGAATGGTGATGTRTGTTCCTCTGTCATCATCTGCATTTGTTTCCATCAGCCTTTGCAAAATGTTTGTCTCATGCAAGGGATTCTCCTTTAAACAGATGCCAGAAACGACAGAACATTGTGTGGAGATACAGGACATTGTGTGGAGATACCACACACATCATTTACAATCACTTTACAGCCCAAGTTCTTTGGTGTGCACTCTATTAAAAGTGATCGCCTTTTCTGATATTAAAATGTTTATTTGTCTATACTTTACACTACTCTGTACATGTTAGTGTTTGCTATAGATTGTGCTTTTCTCTATAACTTTCATGAGCTTACCAGCAATGCTATCCATACCTGGGTGAGCTTTCTCAAATAAAAATCTTCCCTATTTATCTCAAACAAGGCCAAATACTCACTTTACATTAGTCAACCAACAGTACAGTGATTCCCCTGAGCTGCATGGAATGGAAAGACATTTCTCTAAAGCACACAGGAGACAGCTAACTCTCTCTTTGTTTCCTGTGCCCTAATTATTCCATTATATTTTGACGTCCTTTCTCCTGAAATGACACTGACTTTAAAAACTCACATATTTCATCCAAGCTTTGATGAGAGAACTGACTAAGAATATTAAATATTGAACCTTTCATTATGGGTCACTTTTTGAATTTACTTTTTGGGGCAGTTTTGAGTYACTATATTGTTAAGACAGAACAATGTGTAGAAGTTAAAGCTTGTAATAAGAAGGCATCAGCTTTTTAAAATTTTTGTAAGCACAAATGATTGCCAACAATCATTTCATTCTTTATTTTTCTTTTTTTTTTTTTTTTTTTTTTTTTTTTTTTTTTTTTTTTACAGCTCTCTCATGTTTATTTTAAAATGCTCAAAATTCTGTCAGGCAACATGACTTCGGAAAAGTCTAGAAATTGCATAAAAAGGATATCTGTTATTTCTGAAGTTGAATTACATTCTCTTCTTTGGAAAATAAATAAAGCCTTGGTAAAACTATATGATGCTAAAAGAGAGAAAGGAATGAAAGAGAATCACTGACACCTTACAGATATATTGGGCCAGTTCATTGATGACAATGTTACAGACTGACAGCTGGCCAGGGATCCAGCCAAAAACTTTGGAATGCAAAATAGGGCTAAAAATTAAAAAGAGAAGAGATTCAATTTGGTTTGAACTACACAAYTGTACCTCCAAATAAAGGAATGCTGTTCAATAGTGGCATCAATAGTGGCAAATTACAGAGTATTTTGACCTAGGTTATGCAGAGAAATGGCTMAATAAATTTTTACCTGTAATTTGGAGGGAAAAAAAACYCCAAAAATCCAAAATACAAMAACCCTGGACATCAATATTATCAAAATTGTCAATAGGGTGAAGAAACCAATGACTGAGTCTTGCAAAAGGAAAGATTAAGCTAATACACCCAATGAAAGCTTTCCAAAAGAAAACTCTCAAATTTGTTCTGCTAACTGATCATTTGATTGATTGATTGGGCATTGATCAATTGGATAAAATCCTCACAAATGCTATATCTCAAGTTCCCWTAAAATATTACAGTATTAGGGTATGCTTCTATAGTGAGTCATGTTCATCTGTGGTAAACTAAAGAATGTGTTTCCTTTTTCCCTTCACATCAACAGAAAATTTTAATTGAAAATGTGACAGATTACTGCAAACAAAATTCCAAACACCAGCCTTCTGATGTTTCTTAGAGCTGGTGCCMGAAGTGTTGCACAACTGGATCAGGACATCATCAAATCCACATGGATGTGTGGGTTTGCATGCAACACCATCACAGAATGGGCAGGAAACCTGGCCTGCTCCTTTTCTTGGTACCATCACAGTTACACAGCAGCAATGCACTGCTCACCCAAAAGGTCGTTTTCAGCTCCTGCCTCACAGTAACAGAATTAAACACAGGGTTTGAGTGGGATCAGAGCTCTCCTCACCTTTCCAGTGATGAGCAGAGAGGTAGAACAGCACAGTCACAGAATTAATGCACTGTCTTACACTCTCTCACTGAATCACATTTCCATCTTCCTTTCCACCCCCTCTCCCACGTCCCCAATTTCTTTTCTCCAACATTGGTGTCTCTGTACCTCACATGAACCCATCCACRGCAACTGGGAACCTCAGGCTGGGATAATCCCAGCCCAACTCACACTCTGTGACAATTGATGCCAGTGACATCCAGGGGTCTCAGGACACTTCTCCTTTCCAAAGTCACAGCTATCAACTGGCCAAGCAGAATCTTAGATCCTAAATCGTGAAATTGTGAATATACCCTAAATGGYATCTTATCCCTAAAACATGAAATGGTGAATATACCCTAAATTGTACTGTATACCCTAAATCATCATCCTAAATTGTGAAACCTCAGCAGAGCCCTAGATCTAGCACCCAGCACAGCTGCTCTTTGTGGCTCTGCTGTATCTCTGGAGGATGCTGTTTCAGCAGGACATGCAGAGTGCAGTTGATTTCCCAGAGGTGTTGGTCTGAGCAAGTCTCCCCTCCCATTTCCTGACACAGGACTGTAAATTGGGAAGGGCTTTTCCTCAGGACTGTGCAGTAGATTGGAAATGCAGTGTCTGGGTGACTGTGATGCAGAGCTTGAGGCACAGAATCCCCTCCAGAAGGAGTTTGGTGATGGGCTGTGGATGTGTACCCTACCTCCTCAAACTCAGGGGAATGCTCARGGGATGTCAGGCAAAAGGATAATTCCTGCTCCTTCAGCTATATTATCAAAGAGGTGGCTCACAAGAGGTTTAAATGTTACGTACAGAGATGTCTGTCTCAGAAACACACATCAGAAGTGCACAGGTACACAGAAGGAAAATTTCACTGAGCATCAGGTAAGATTAATTAGATGGACTTGCAGTGTTTTGGTCTCCAGCAGGGTAGAAGCACGGTCTAGGTGCTGACTTCTCAGCCCAGTCAAGATCTGCATGGAGGAGTTGCTTTAAAGCGATGCAGGCACATAATAAAAAAAAAAAAAAAAAAAAACAAAAAACCAAAAAAAAACAAAGTACCTATGGTGTTTAAATCATGCCAGTCATAACTCAGAAGAGCTTTTCAAAATAGAAACTTTGGACTTAAATGCCTGACTCGACCTAAATCTGACTTCAGGCTCCTACATAAAGCCACTAAAATTACACCAGGGACAAGTTCAGCCATAAGTGACATGATTTTTGGCATGCAATTTGTAACTTTGCTAGATCCAAGATATTATTCCTTACTATTTTTAAGACCATTCTAAATCTATGTATTATTACTACACTGTATATTGATGTTTTGAGCAGAAGAGCAATATTTAAGAAACTTGATTCAAATTAACTTAATAATTAGCACTTGGATTATTTATGTATCTTTATGAATAAATATATAACAGATCCTCTGAGCAGTTCTCTTTTCAAGAATGAATTCTATTTAAATAGTAGATTCTGTGCAAGGGTTAACCTACGCAGAGCTATTCTTAAAGATATTTATAGCAAAAATGTTAATTCCCAAGGAGAACAATTTATATTCATAAAGCAGGCTACACCTTTTCAAATCCTGGCTGAAACAGGTGGCCAACTTGGACACGTAATTAAACCTCAAATTCCCCTGTATGTGGCAGCCAAAGTTCAACWTGTTTTTTTCTAAGGAGTTGATGTAGAAAGATTTTCATGAGATATTTTATTTTCTATCATCAATTCAGTGATCTAAGCAGTGACTGATTAAACCTGCACACCTTCCAGGCTGATATACCTGAGTGGAAAAAAAACCCAAAAAACAACAAAAACCCACAACTCACAGCTGGAATTGTTCCCAAAAACTAAAATAGATGACAAAGTAAAAGACCAATCTTCCACAGACACTTAATGAAGACAGGCTTCAAGGCGTTTTCTATGCCAGAGAGTACTTTACACCCCAGGAGGAGACAAAACCAGCAGATTTCTGCAGCTGAGGATTGCAGTCACAGCAGAATAAGTCAAATAACAAAAAACATATTACTTGTTAAATCACTTACACTGGTTTTCCTTTGGATTCACAAGTCAAAACTATAGATTGTCCTTCTTCAGGCCATGAATTGGAAGAAATGATTTTAACTAAAGGTGTATCTAGGAAGAAAAAAATAGACAACTTGTTGATATACACAAAAAAGATTTATTATCTAAGAGTACATTCTTCTCTATTTACAACAGACTAAACCATAGATGTAATTTACACTTGGAGACAGTTTCATATGGAGCCTTGTGCAATTTCCATTGTCTTCAGGAAGGCAATAAAAATGACCAATGTAACTAAAACAGTAATAGTTATATCCCTAGGAAACACAGATAGAAAGCATGTGCATACTCAGAGAAAACAACTTTTGTATTTCTGTRTTCGATGCAAACACTCCATATGACAATTTGAAAATCTGATATCTAACAACAAAATAAAAAAAACAAAACCATTGAGGATGAATAACAAGTACTCCATGCAATTGTTTGCCTATTTTTAGGCTGATATGATGGAATGCTGCTATTAGAGGAATGAATGCAATAGTGCACATTTGAATAAGAAGCTTTTTGTTGTTGCAAAAGCTTGAAACTCATAATAAGAAAGCTACAATGGGCTTTCAGATAAAATACCTTGTTACGGACATTTTACAGGATATTATTTCTGAAATGCAATAAAGCTGCCCCTAAAACAGAACAATTTAAAACAGAATTTGCAAAGAGAATGTTTCACATATCTGCAGAAAGCACTACAGAAGAGTCTGCAATCTGTTGATTGTGATGGGATCAGTTTCATAGTTTTAATTGCAAAAAGATACACAACATCGCTACTGTGAATTCAGGCAGAATAGAGCATTTGAAGCAGATCTTTAACTCAAAAAAAATTTGGCCAGCTGGCTTGCAAGAATACACTCTCATAGTCAACATACAACTTAGAGGGATACCTTTTATAAGGAACAAAAAAAAGGTGATAAAAAACAGGAACGCAGCCTATTTTTTCCTTAGGAAGAGGAAAAAGAAAGTTCACTGCCATAATGAAAAAAAAAAATCAGATTCAACAGAAAAATTTCTAGTTTTCCCCTCAGCTCCTTTCTCTATAAATACAAACCACTTTAACCTGTAAATGTAGGGTATCTAAGTTTTTTCTCATTCAATTTGCAGTTGCTGTTTTCCTAAGTAGTGACACCGCAGATGTCCTGTGGTGAAAGCAAATGTGAAAGAGCTTGACAGTCTGACCCCACAACATCAAACTGAAAAAAAATAAATTCTGTAACAATATAGTCTCTTATTGAGATACCAACAGTCCTGTTGGATACTAAATGGCATCTGAACAGCTAAAGTGCTGGAAATGTTTTTTCCAACTTTAGATTTTTATTTTTACATGCCACAGTGTGGCACGAGACAAGAAAAGGGAAAGGCTCAGTGCAGACTCGCTGTAGTTCCACTGAAAGCATTTCCAGCATCATTCAGCCTTCCAGAGMAGCTGCACTAACCTTACACCAGCAGCAAATCTGTTCCACAAGTTCATATTTTTAAGGACCCTGCAAACCATTATGCAGGTGACTAATCCTTCAGAGGCCAGGCTGGCATTTGCTTCATTTTTAGCACACGCTTAAGGCACTGACCTCAAGTGCCTTAATAAATCAGGGCATCAAGTACTTCTGTGATTTCAGTGGTGCTGTTGGAGATGAATAAATTACTCTCTTGACTATACATTGAACCAGAGGAGCAAATTAGTATCAGCCAGGAATACATGAAGAGTTTAACTGAGGGAGGGAGACAACTAACGCAGTGAGATCAAGAGGTTCCAGAGGAATATGAAAAAGAGCAAAACTTTGATGGAAGTAATCCTGACAGCCACAGGTGAAGGAAGAAATTAAAGGCCCACCTAGCTATTATTCCTGGCTTAAATATTAAAAAAAAAAAAATAAAGATCAGCATTTTATGCAATACTGCAAATGACCCACATAAAATAGAAGACTACAGACAATTAAACTTTCATCTGCATGGATCAGTGCAGTGCTGTTTCCCCCAACTTGAAGTTCCAATTTCTACTTTAATACTCCAGACAGTTCTCTGCTCTCCATGCCCTTCTAAACAGAGCTTACTAACACAGAATAAGAAAGRTCTCACATTTATGTTTCACTCTGTAATGCACAACATAATGTAGGAAATAGATTCCCTAGTGGTTTTCCCTGCTAATTRTCCTAAACAGTAACTACTAGTTACTCTAAAGCAGGAAACCCAGGATTTGATTYAATATATAATTTTTAGGGAAGCTAAGAATGGACAATTTTTTCATTTTATTAATGGTTCTTTTTCAAAAACTAGATATTCTATTTTATGTGCTTTATTCTCGCTATTACTGTTTCCATTTTTTTTTTAGCCATGCTTGATTTCTCCCCAGAATTAAAGTGAACACTTAAAAGAGGGRAAAAAAAATTAAGATAAACCTACCCTCTATTTTCACATTCACATCAATATTTTGAATGAGAAGAAATCTTAAGAATAATTGAATCGAATAAAAACTAACCTAAATATGTTATTTTAAGAAACACAGTGATAAGGCCCTGCTTACTGGTACTTTTCYAGAACAGAAAATGTTATTACAAAATACTGCTTCCTGCTATGATTGCTCATTTTAGAAGAATTTGCAAAGCATTAATACTTTGAGTTTTGACCTGTCACACTTTAAAGTATTAATCATAACAACTGGAACATCACTTGATCCCCAGCAAACATCAACACCAGGAGACTGCTTAAAGAAAGAAAACCAAGAACTCCAAYACAGCAAGAGGTTGACTTCTTTTCAGATACGCTCATCAGCTTGTTTTAAGTAATGTAMATATGTCCAAAAACCCCTCTCCTTTTACAACCAAAACAAACAAAAGTAGAGTCAAAGGTTTTAATATGGGTTAGATCTACTCCGCCTCTAAAGTCAGTAGAAATAAACTAATTTGTATCAGTTGAACTTACCAGAACTTTAACAACTAGCATATTTTTTTAGTATTCAGTTGAACTTACCAGAACTTTAATAACTAGCATATTTTTTTAATATTTGGCCCAGCAATTTCATGCCAATGAAATATCACAGATCAGTGTTCAAAGCAGAATTCTTCTGAACAAGGGACTGGTGACTACAGTATCTCTACAATACCTAAAAACATRTCCTTATACTGAGTTCTAAGAATACTGTGGAGAAGACAAGTATTCCAAAAAGAATAAACTTGAATAAACTTTGGGAAAGTCCAATTCTATAAAAGCCCAATGGTTTGTGTRACTGTAAGCATCACAGCAGTTCTCCTCAGAAAAACACGCTGCTTTCAGTACCCACTGACTTTTTTAGTCACATCCATCTCCAGCAGAGAGAGCTTCTTTGGCCCTCCAGTCCTTACTTTGACTAATGAGGTACCCWTGAGCTGTAATTGATTACTATCACCAATCTGAATTTTCAAACATGTCTTCCCACATTTTCTACCCTCTTTGAGCATGGAATCTGCCCTTTTTCTTCTGGACATAGCAGCTACAGGTAAGAATATCACCATGAGGCTTTTTTTTATGCAGCATTTCGTGATTCAGCAGACCAAAGGCAAAAGTTACACTAAGTGAATCTGTTATATACATCTTTCTAGGATTTGGGTTCATCTCATCTCAGAAGACCAGGAAAGCCATTTCAAAGCTTTTATATTTATACATCATCCTCAGCAGCACAAAATATCAGTGACTGGGTGTGGAAAAATGATACCAGTTTACATTGGTAAAAAAACATAATCTAATACATGAAGAAATTAAACCCTTCAACCMTTGACTTTTGTTGTACTTTTAGCAGCAACATTCATCCCCTGTGGAACTGCATTACTGATTGATTTKATCTCTTTGAAGCTATTTTGAAAATAAAGGTGGTTCTTATCAGCACTAGACCTTTGCTCTTAATCTGATCTTCTATGCTTAAAGGTTCGTGTGTTTGATTTCAGAATGCACTTGCTGTTTTCACATTGCTTGAAGTAAAATAGACTTCAGTAGGTATTTATATTATTTTATCACCAAGTCTTTATAAGGTTACATGCAGGATTAAATTCCTTCACATAAATTTACTCATATAAAGTAATCACATGAAAGCTGAGGGAAGATTCCTGCATAATAAGCTATGTCATTCTYTTTGTGTAAACCCTTGACAAACACAGTGTATAACTGCAAAACTGAATTCATAAAAGTGAACAGATTTGCTAAAATTGTGAAACAGGCCACCAACAGAATCAGACACTTAAWCTCTACTAGTTTCTTCTCAGTGCCAAGACAGTAAAAGGGTAATTTGACCAGTTTTCCATATGTATTTCCTGACATCCCATCAGTTCTCAGCATGCATAACCTTTCATGGAACTYACAGCTGCTGTTGAGTCCCTAAATCAAAGCACAGCCCTTCATTCCTAAATCAGCAACAGGTGTGCAGGAAAAAAGCACATGAAAAATCATTTTGTGAGACACTGTGATGATGTTATGATAGRAAGACGTTATTTTATTAATCCCTCCCTAATGTAATCACCCTCAGTCAATGTAATTACCATCCTAGAAACAGAAAGAAACACCACCTTTCTTCTTGGGCAGATGTTAGGGTGGGTAGAGGCAATGTATTTCATTGACACTTTTAAAAAAACAACTTTTGGAAGCAGCAGACTATTCAGGAACAGGAATATTCATGATCCCATAGTCATCAGGGTTCCAAGAGTGCTGAAAATGCACCTATTCCAAGAACCACRCAGCACTCTTTCCTCCAGGTAATTTTGATATATTAGTTTGGCTGTAATATAAACTTCTTGCCACTAGATTTCTCTAAACATAAATCTCTGTGATGCTCAAACCTTAGCCTTCATTAGCCTTCAGTGAAAGAGAATTTACAGAAACAGTTTTAGTGATTCTCCTCTGCACAAACTTWCACAGGAGTGTTGCATCAGATGCAGAGATCCAAGTCAGGGCTCCTAACTTGTAAGTTTTCTGCTGAATTACAGATTTTTAAAAAATAAATAAATGCAATAACTTACTATGAAATTTAAACTTAGCACCCYAAGTACCTTCCAGTGTGGCTGAAGCTTCAGAAAGCAGAACAGAACAAGGTCACT